TCCTGTTCCTCCTCTCCCCACCTTACCAGCCCCCACCTCTACTCTCCAACTGACAGCAACACACCTTCCTGTCTTTCTCTGGAGTTAGTCTCTTCCTCATTACAGTTCCCATCTGCGATTCCATTTCTTCCCAAGTGTGGCCTGTGAGATTTTCGCTGCTCTGTCGCGTCAGCGGCGACAGCTCTACGTCAGTGTGCTTTTGTAGGGCCTGTATCATGGCCTGTATTATTCGAAGTAGTACAAATGTGGCTCTTAGTCTCTTTCCGCTCAGTAGCAACGGGTTGAAAACACGCATGCAAAGTTTGGTATCGAGACTGTAAGACTCGAAGTCTCACCTAACACTCCACGGAGCGTGAACAGCCAAATAGGCCCCCACGATGTTGGGTCTTATAGCCCAAGGAGGCTCTGGGAGCTCGACGGAGAAATGAGAAACCCAGGAAGGAACACACCAGGCTGGATGGTAAATAGACCTTTATTAGTCTGGCCAGACGGCACTCTCAGAACTAAGTAGCTTAGAGAGGCACCGGCTCAGGGGCTGAGGTACTTTTTATAGAGGGGTAGAAAGGGGGTTAACATGTTAAGCTTGCAGGCAGGGGACAAAGGTCTGCTGACTTGAGCTGGTGGTCAGCAGTCACACATTGATGATTAACAGGTACCTATAGGATGGTTCAAAGGCCACCAAGACATTCAGGATGAGCAAACAGTTCGACAATTAACTTGGGGTCTCTATGTATTTCATAGTATAGAACCACTACCTTACATGTTAATTCGGATCTGGACTTCAAACAGTACAAGAATGCCTTACATTCCTAAGCCAGGGTTTGAACAAAGGTCGGGGTTATAGCTACAATGGGAGGGGGTTAGAGCACTGTCTCCTAGGCCCTTTGTCATTTAGCATGGGCTTGTAATTTAGGTCTTACAAGACTTTATGGCTGGCCATTCCTTTAAGAGAGTAACTGGATTGTTTTTCTCGCCTGCTGAATCAGGATGATTAGCCTTGATTTCGGCCAGTACTGAATGGAGTGCAGATCAGAGTCAGCTTTCTGGAACATCGGTTCCAGCTTAGGGACCTCCGCTCCACGTTGAATTGCTGAAGATTCCTCAGACCTCCGTGGTGCTTAAGCTGCAAACCTTACCAGCACTGAGGATCTCTATTGGACAGCTGTCATTCAACATCTTGCACTCATTTCAAATTTCATTTATTTATTTTAATTTTTTGGTACCGGGGATCGAACTCAGGACCTTGTGCTTGAGAGGCAGGTGGCGGAACCACTGAGCTAAACCCCTGCTGACAAACTTTTATTTTGAGAGAGGGTCTCACTAAATTTCCCAGGCTGGGCTGCAATTTGTTATCCTCCTGCCTCAGCCTGCCAAGTAGCTGGCATTACAGGCAGGCCTCACTATGGTTGGCAAAACTAGGCTTCTTGACTACTCTGTGAAGGAGACATCTGACCAAAAAAGACCCAGACATCACCAAACAAGGGAGATGGGGTAATGACAGACTCCGGGGGAAGCAGGTATACACCTGCTTCAAATATGGCCTGCAAAGTGGTCCCTGGGCTCTGTGTGCTTTGAGACAATAAAGTCAAGGTCAATGTCAAACTTGCACCCAGAAACTCTTTATCTAAGGCTCTGTAGCCAACATGCACATCAAGGCCGCTTCTCTGGGTCAAGGTGAGTTAGATCCTCTAGGCGAAAGCAGAACACTTCGTTCTTAGCCTGAGTCACAAATAGCAAATTTTCTGATAGTCTGTGATTTTAGAGGGCAATGTTTCTGAGGGAGGAAGAAAGCAGCAGTCACTCAAAAATAGGGCAGGGTATTAGCACTTCATAGCTACAGGGAAATAGCTCTGTAGTTGGCTTTGTCCATTTTTGTTACCCAGCCCGGTAAGTGGCCAGGCAGGTTCCTGCTTTTCCAGTCTGAGCTCGTTGTACTTTCCGCCCCATCTGAGCGGCGCTGGCTCCCATCTGCTCTGGCTTCCGGTACAGGAGACTGGGGAACGGTTTAGTGGCTGTGGGTCTCCTGGCCCCTCCCTGCCCAGCTGCATAGTGGTCAGGTTTCTGGGCACTACTTCTTCCTGCGGGCTTGTCTGGGAGGGGCTCCCACTGCCAGCCCGAGGCTGCTCACCCTCCTACCCTCCTTCAGTGCTTTTCCTAACCCTGCTCACACGGTGGTAAATGGGACTGTTCTTATCACCCCACTCCAGTATGCCACTGCTCTCCTGCAGTGCAGGAATCTTCAGTGAGGTGGTAATCTTCACATGTAAGGAGGGGAGAGGAAAAGGATCCCCACTGGGGCAGTAGAGTCTGAAGGTCAGAAAATGGAGTCTACGGGGTCACTGCCCAGCTTCCAATCTTAGCTTTCTGCTGTAGCAACTGTGACCTCATTCATTCACTTATTCATCCGTCTATCCATCCGTCCATCCATCCATCCATCCATCCGTCCGTCCATCCATTTCCAAGAACTAGTGGATACAGCAGTGAACAGGCAGAGAAGTCATATGTCCATCTACCGACGAATGGGTCAACAAAATGTGGGCTAACTACACAAGGAAATATTATTCAGCCATAAAAAAGAATGGAGCATTGAGCTGTTCTACAGCATGGATGAATC